GCTGCCATTTCTTGTAATTTTAATACAGTTAAATCATCACCATAAACGTCATCTCCAACTTCGGCATCGAACATTGCTTGACGCATTTCATTTGTTGGTTTTGTTACTGTATCTGAACGAAGATCAATAAACGATGATGGCATGTTTTACTTTTATTTGCAAACGTAGAAATGACAAGACAACTAATGAAGAGACATGACCATGAATACTTGTTTGTTATATTTAAAAAAGATAAGAACGATTAATATTTATTCTCCAGATGTTACTTCGTCAGTTATGATATGATATACAAAGCATCTCACTTTTATGCACCGTTTGTAGAAAAAAAACACAAGGATAGTTTTATATTTCAACAAGATATATATGGGTGAATCGTATTTCATTTGTACAATTGCATCATCGGTACTAAATCATGAATATCTCTTGTTCGGAAGCTTCAAATGACTGGAAAATTTTATATAATACTGCTCTTGGTGTCTTCCTACAGTTCTAAAATTTTGAGCAGTCTACGTCACTCCTATCTCAGGTTAGCCTGTTGGAAGTGAAAATAAAGTAAAAAATGGAGCCATCTCTCGACGAAAACAAAAATTTTTTTTCATTTGCGAAAAGTTTAAGCTCGCATTTTTTTCAGTGTAATTAGGTAGAAAAAAGTGCAGAGAATCCGAATCTGACTTTAGTTTTTCTTAAAAAAGGGTGACGTATGGGTATGGGTGGCTGTAGGATATGAGTGTGATTGAACTGAAGATCGACACCCACACTCACAACTCATCCCCACCCCCACCCTCACCTCACATCCCATACCCCAGACGTAAGTGAGGTTAGCACCAGATTCGAGTAAATCCTGCCAAGATTCGCCCAGGGACATGTTCCAACTTTCCTAGGGTGTGTTCCAAGTACAACGCGATGAGCTCTATTGAATGGTGTATTCCGATTCCAGATAGCTCAAATCAAGTCCAAGAAAATCACAAAAACACTAGATTTTCACCACGGGCGATTTTGCATTCAACTACTAAAACCTGCTAAGATTCGCCTAGGAACATATTCCAAATGTTCTATTCGTGTTCCAAGTACAACTTGACGCGCTCTATCGAATGGCGTGTTCAGATGTTCCATAACACAAACTGAGTCTGAGAAAATTTGATAATACTAGTGTATCACCACAAAAATCCTGGATTTTATGCAGTAAAACCTGCCAAGATTCGCCCAGAAGCATGTTCCAAATGTTCTACTGATGTTCCAAGTACAAATCGATGAGCTCTATCGAATGATATATTCAGATTTTTCGTAGTTGGAACCGTGTCGTAGAAAATTTAAAAATATTGCTGGATCAGTGCAAGAATTTGGTATTCTCTATGGGAAAACTTGCCAAGATTCGTCAATGAGCGTGTTCCAAATGTTCCATTGGTGTTATAAGTACAACTCGAAGAGTTTTATCGAATGATGTGTTTCGATACTCTCTGCGTCAAAATGCGTCTGTGAAAATGCGAAAATGCTGGTGTGTCAGCAGAGGAAATCTTTGGTTCTGGATAGTGAAAACGGCCAACACCCTCTCAGGAATACGTCCTACATGGTTCAATCAGATTACGAGTACTACTCGATGAGTTCTATCCGATGATATAATCATATACTCGATAGCTGAAACTAGGCTGAGAAAATCTAAAAATGGTAGTGTGTTTGTCAAGTAATCGATGATTATGGACAGTAAAACTAGCTGAGATTCTTCCAGGATGACGTTCCAGTGGTTCCACTTATGTTCAAAGTGTAACTCGATGAGTTCTATCTCATAATGCATTCAGAATTTCTGTAGGTCGAATTATGCTGCCGGGAATCCAAAATTTCTAGCTTGTGAGCGCAGGAATCGATGTTTGTGGGCAATAAAAGCAGCCAAGATTCTTCCAGAATGATGTTCCAGCTGTTCCACTTATGTGCTAAGTGCAACTCGATGACTTATATGCAATGGTGCATTTAGTTCTTGTGTAGCTGAAATTGCGTTCCTGAAAATCCAAAACTACTAGCGTCCCAGCAGAGGAATCTTTGATTCTGGATAGTAAAACTTGTGAGGAGTATTCCTGGAAGATATTCCAGATGATCCAGGGTGTGGGTGTGGGTATGGATGTGTGTGATAAAAGGTAAAACACACCCAGACCAACACCCACACCCCACACCCACACTCACACACACCCACACCCACCCACACCCTCGCCACATTACAGTCTCCAAAAATATCAAATTATCACAACGAGTTATGATACAGTCTTCTTAAAAACTCGCTTTGTCTTTAACTGAAGTCATGCTTAGTTTAGCGCATCTCCACGACCCTTGCTCGGACATTATCATTATTAGCGTAGCAATAATAAAAGAACAACTCGACTAGTATATTCTGCTTTTCACTTTCATTTAAATTCTTTCGAGCCAGATTCAAAGAAAAACCTTGGTTGAACTAAAATCTAGTGGTTTCTACAAATTACAGCAATAGTGCTAAGTTTGAAAGCTTCTTCAATCAAAAACTTACGTTCTCTACAAATTGCAGTAAATAACAAGAATTTCTGCTATCAGAAACTTGCACTCTCTGCAAATTGCAGTGACTATCTGAATATTAAAAGTTTATTTATTGTCAAGAAAGTAACGACCTCTACAAATTGCAGCATACTCTGTAAAATGAATTAATTTTTATAAAAATCTTTAAAAACAATTTACTTTCAATATTCGTTCGCAGTAATCAAATTTTCAAAAGTTGAATATAAATTTTAATCGTTTTCTAACAATTTAATAAAAGACACAAATTTAAATCAAACGAATTTTCAAAAAATTTAATTTCAAATTTGTTTTCTGCATGTTCGCAAATGAGAGGTAGCCGTCAAAACTGCTTGATACCTATGATTTGCTTCAGATGTTGAAAGTGAGGGTGCCAGTGTATGTTGATGAGTATAGAACTCGGGTGTCGGGGTGTGGGTGGATGTTTAGCTGTGGGTGTGAGCACGGGCGTGGAAAAGGATACGGGGTGTAGGTGCCCGGTTGGTTGTGGCTGTGTGGGTGGATGTGCGGTGTGGATGTTGGTGGATATAGGGTTGGGTAGGGTGTAGGTGTGAATGTTGATGCAAGTGTAAGATGGATGCATGTAAATGCTTGTGCAGCTTCAATCTACATAAACAGCCACACCCATTCACACACAGGGTGTAGATGTGGGTGTTCAGTTCTCCTACACCACGCCCACAAAAACCCACACCCCACGCCAACATCCACATCCTCATTTTAATGCACAACTTTTGAATACCTTTCAAACATGAGAAAAAAGTCCACTGACTTTCCAACTACTCAGAAATGTAATTTTTTAAATTGCACAATGATAACACATGGTCGTTTCATGATTATCTCTGTGTGAGTTCGGTTACGCTTGAAATGAACAAGCACGGTCGTCTCCACATCCTCACCCACAACCATATCTGGTCCATCCCCATTTACCTGTACTCATTTACCATCACATAGTTTGCTCTTTTTCGTTCGCCAAAAGACAGTGTATTTGCGAACGAAGCATTTGAGAAGCTGACTTTATTGACACATTGAATCCGATACGTAAGCGAAAATATGGCACACCTTGATAATTGTCAGCACTAAGCTTTTTCGCGTTCCGCGAAAACTGCACTAACTCAATACTCAAATGAAGCAACGTGCATCAGTAACTAACAATAATGATATTCTGAAATTTTTAGTACTGTTGCAAACACGTTTTAAGACATCGCTGCACAGATTAATAAGCAATATTATTCATGAAAGTAATTTCTGAGACATAAAATATTTTGAATTTTCGACTAAGACATTCTGAAGGTTCTTCGGGCAAGACCAATAAAACACATTCAGCAAGTGGAAGGGAGTATCGATGTAATGCAATGAACAAATCAGTAAAAGAGAAGTATGCTTGCACATCCATTCATCGTCTATTATTTTTCGTAGCCCAAAAATAGTACTGTTGATAAGATAAAAATTCAGTTGTCTCCAAATTAACGCCAATTACCCACGTCAGTTACTTTTCAAGGAAACAGAATGATTCTCAAATCTTCAATTCAACAAATTTTGCTACGCTCAATGAAATAAAAACAAGCTTTGAGATAAATCGGAAGATCTCCTTTTTTCAAAGATATTCATCACGGCTTTCAAATTTGCGTCAAGATTAGAAACTCACTCCATTGAAAGCACGATATATAGTTATTATTTGGAGATACCAGGATTCATACGATTCGCGGAATGACAGGATTAAATCAGCTTATGTCTCTTTAATCATTCGCTAATTGTTTTCAAGCTAAGCTCACATGAAGAGCAAATACCTATTTTCAAAAATGAAATCTTATATTTCCATATAAAAAGTCTGCTTTCTTAGTTATATACTACATTTATTGCCATTATTTCAATAGTATTCATCTTACATGATGTCGCACTTGACACTCGTCGCTTTTCTTATTATTATAGTGTGTCTTGGAATTCAAGGTATGGTATATTTCGATGATTTTTAATACTTTTCAGAAAGATTATGTTCAGCTAACTAATTTTAGTATTTTGTGCGAGAAATGTGAAGAAGCCATAAAAATGAATAATAGCTGAGGATAGATGATTTATCACTGGGCGCAATATTAATTGAAAAGAATTTTCATATTTGGCTGTAGCTGAAGATTTTCCCTACGAAGTAGAACTATGACCTTATTTTATCAAACTCGGCTGAAACACTCATAGTGTTAATTGAGATAGATTAGACTCAAGATATTGCTAGTGCATGTTGCCATTCTCCCATATTGTTCGAATATGTGCGAATTCTTGTGTACCCGTAATGATGCTGTTATTATGAAGAATAATTCATTTTAATACTTAGAAGCACTCATTTTTGCTAATAGTGGCACGAAACGTATTCTTCAGTCGGAGAAAACTGTAGTTTCTAAGCTCGACAAGAGATATCCATATCATTTTTGAATCATTGTAAATATTTATGAAATGGTAGGTGCAGCAATATGGACACCATCGGAGGCACAAGCTCAGGCTAAAAACCTTGGATATTCTGTTACAAATTATTATTGCCACGGAGAGAAAACATTTTATAACTCGCGTGCCAAAAACAATATGGCTTGCATCACTAGAGATGTTGATGGGCATAATG